ATATAATTTGGAGGCCATGTGCAGAGTCAACACTCCATCTTTCCCAGCCTTTTTTTTTTTTTTTAACTCATAATTAGCATACATAGTTTGATACTGTCTGATATCTTTTTGGACAAAAATGTCCAGCCCACAGGTGGATGAACACATTATGCAGTGGGTGAGCAAGCGGTTCATGGGTCAGGTACAAAGGGTCACAGTGACTGGGGTGACATCAGACTGGTGGCCTGTCACTGCTGGGGCTCCACAGGGCTCCAACCTCAGCCCTGTGCTCTTCAACATCCTCATAAATTACTTGAATGCAGGACTGGAAGGGACACTTTGTAAGTTCACAGATGGTACAAAACTGGGAGGAGCTGTTGGTTCCTGTGGGGGCAGGGAGGCCCTGAAGAGAGACCTKGACAAATCAGAAGGTTGAGCAATCAYCAACCACATGAAGTTTATCAAAGGAAAGTGATGGATTCTGTACCTGGGATAAAACAAACCTGGATGTATGGACAGACTGGGGAATGAGACACGGGAAAGTAGCAGAGCAGAAAGGCACCTGGGGGTCCTGACTGATGGAAATTTGAATGTGAATCAGCAGTGCCYTGGCAGCCAGGGGACACCATTGTCCTGGGGGGYATCAGGCACAGCATRGCCAGCTGGGCRAGGGAGGGGATTGTCCCGCTCTGCTCTGCWYTGGGGYRSCCTCACCTCGAGTGCTGGGRRCAGTTTTGGGTGYCACAATACAAGAAAGACAGGAAACTATTAGAGCATGTCCAAAGGAGGGCAACAAAGATAGTAAAGGRCCTTGAGGAGAAGCTGTATGAGGAGTGGCTGATGTCATTTGATCTGTCCAGCCTGGAGGAGATTGAGGGGGAACCTCATTGCAGTCTAGAATTTTCTTGTGAGTGAAGAAGCGGGGCAGAGGCTAATCTCTGCTCTGTGGTGACCAGTGACAGGACCCAAGGGAATGGCCTGAAGCTGTATCAAAAGAAGTTGGATATTAAAAAAAGTTGGGCATGCACTGGAACAGGATCCCCCAGGAAGTGGTCACAGCACCAAACCTGACAGAATTCAAGTGTTTGGACAGTGCTCTCAGGCACATGATGTCCTCTTGGRGATAGTGTGGTACAGGGCCAGGAGTTGCACTTGTGTAGGTCCCTGCAGTTCAGCATATTCTGTGATTATGTGACTTTGATATCCCCAAGAATAAAAAGATGAGATGGATGAGAGCTGATATCAAGTTCKACTAGAGTAATCAAAATTTAGAGGACGATACTTCTTAAGATCCCTTAAATTCTAGCAAGGTCCTTCCAATTTCCTTTAGGAAAGACTTCAATGTTAGAGGTGCTGAGACTCTGCATATAATTTGAGTCTCAATGTTTTCAGAAGATGTCAGCATTTTCGATACCTATGGAGCATATTTGCATTATGCTTAGCATGAGATGTTTACATTATTAATATCTGAGTTAGGAAATAGAAACAGCATTATATGTAGAATCATGTCTGCTATGCATGTGTTASCCAAAGAGACAGAGTTAATACAGAAACCAAAATGAGCATTTATACCAAAACAAAGATTTTTTTTTGTGTACATGAAATGCCCCAGTGAATTGACGTATGAAAGGAAACCTCATGACCTATCAAAATTAGAATCTCAGACTACAAGAGTGAAGGTARGAGAGGTGATCAAAATTCTCTAGTTGCTAGGCATTTTATGGAAAGAGGCCACATTCACTCATCTTATTAAAATTCATGAAAATTGAAAATATCCAAAAGCCCAGGAGGGGTGGGGTCACAAAATCTATTTCACAGAACTGGAAAGCTTACTTTAAATTCACCTTGAAAGCACTTTCCCAGTCACAGACTTCCTGAGAGCCTTTTGATTTCTCTCCTACTTAGGAGGTAATTATAGAACTTCTTTTCCTCCCTGACTAACGCATACAGAAAGAGTKCACTTCAGCTTTTTATGCAGATTGCAATGGTTTGTTCCTGACTAGAYCTTTATTGCAAATTATTTCTCATTTGCTCTCTCTCCAATTCATCTAGTTAGCTTTATTTTTATTKCCCTTTGTTTCTCACATCTTGTCCTCTGTGTCATTTGATATGATAAATACTTTAGCATTAAATATCGTTGAACTTTGCACTTCTCTTTTCCTCTTTTAATTCACTTTTGCCTTTMATTTYAAATTTACTGTTGYCAGAAAAYAATTCAGGCATAGGGATGATGGAAGAGTGATGTTAAACAGAGGCTGCRCAGTATATTTCTCTTGTGGATAAATCTCTTAAAATGTACAAATCCAAAGGTAAAGAATAAATTCTTTCTAAAAGGATTTCTAAGGGCACCAGAATCATGTGAGATTTTTAAGATCACCACAGTCATTTCAGGCAGAAAGAATCTGAGTTCATGAGTTTAAAGTGTATGTGATAGAAACTTGGCTTATGTGGTCTACTCTGGTCCTAACAGCTGCCACTGCTTTTAATTTCTTGTACAAATTGATGCCTAGTGGAAGACTTGATGGGAAATTCTACATCATCTTTTTTCACATTGGGGAAATCTTGTAACATTATTGCTGCAACAAGACCACAGAATTTCCCCTTGCTCAGACACCTCCCCTGTTTTGGTAACATATCAAGGTTAATATTTATTAATAACTAATAAGCAGTGTGTTTCTCAGATACAATTAAAAGCTTAGGCATCATTTAGCCACCAAAACAATGCTGTTTTAGGCAAACTAGAAGCGGAGTCAAGACCATAGCTTTTTTTTTTTTTTTTTTTTTTTTTTTTTCCCCCCTGGTAACAGCCTACTTTTATTCTTTAAAAGAAAATAGGGATATATTGACATTTATTTTTTAAGCTGCTTTTCTAGTATTGGGTAAAAATTGTAGGGAATGAACAACAGCAGTATTGCAGCAAGGAGCTTGCTAGAGTATATCCCAAAGACTTTGCTTTCCAAATAAAAGTAGCAGACCTCCACTATTCATCACACTCTTTTGCAAGTGATGTCAATGGTCAATAACATTCCCCTGAATCCATCAAGCATAAATAAGTGCGAATAAAGAGAAAACGGAAATGTTCTTTCACGAAGAAACTATCAATATTTTTGTATTAAGTGGTTGTATAAGAATAAAGACTTGCTACAAAGCCCTCACTCAGAAAGCTGGTCTACCTTGGAAACAATCACAGCTGTGACTAAATCAACCAAACAAGGCATCACAAAAAGTTATTAAGAACATATTTTTCCTCAGCTTAACTGTTCTGCTTTATATATTATTCACTCAGCCAGCTGCAAAGCCCTTTCCCATTCTTGGTGATTTCAACAGTAGTTGTTGGAGCTTTTATACATTTAAGATAGGCATATAAAAACTCTTTTAGCGTTTAGTGTTTACACTAAGTATCCTGAAAAGAGAAACTTTTATATTTATCAAGCTTTAGCACAGGTTGTCGCCAACCCTGATGAAGAACATTCATATCACCAAKTTCTAAGGAATCTAAACCAAAATCCAACATTTTTCTCTTCAATCTTGTCTATCTGCCCAGCTTTAACATCTCCCTCTTTCAGAATCCTATCTGGCACATGGAGGAGATTTTTTCAATAAATCAATACTGTAATAAAAAATGACTGTTTCTATGCACTCCACATATTAACTGAGTTTCTCTTATACAGATAAAATCATTCACCTTATGTCCTATATTTGACATTAACGTTTAATAGCAGACCTTAATAAAAGAAGCACCTGGCAAAAATGTGAACCTAAAATATCACTGTGTTAAATCTTGCCTGCTTTGACATAATAGCTAATCACTTAATTTGGTTTCAGAAAGAATGATAACATTTCACTGTTTTCAAAGAGTACTTTTGAAAAAGAATACYATCTGAAAGAAATGCTACGAGTATAGGCATGTCAAATAATAGCTATCATTTTTTTGTCAGMAAAATGGAAGGATACTGTTTTCAGCAAGAATGAAATTAGCAGTTTATCCATGAAAAAAATGCAAAAAAACCAAACCCAAATTATATGCTTTTTCCTAAAATCATTATAGCATAAATATCACTTGTCAGGGTTTATCCCCAGCCAACAGCTAAGCACCACACAGATGTTCGTTCACTCCCCCATAGTGGGATGGAGGAGAGAACAGGATAAGTGAGAAAACTCACGGGGTGAGATAGAGCCTGTCTCATAGATAAAGCAAAGAAATTYGGGAATTCATTCACCTCTTGCCATGGGCAGGCAGGTGTTAGGCCATCCCAAGGAAAAGAGGACTCCATCACATGGAATGATGGCATGACAAATGTCACCACTCTGAACATCCCCCCTTCCTCCTTCCCCCAGTATTATAGCTGAGGATGGCTCCATCTGGTATGGGATGGCTGTCCTGTCTGCGTCCCCTCCAATTTCTTGCGCACACCCAGCCTATTTGCTGGAGAAAGGTGAGAAGCAAAAAAGGCCTTCARGCTGTGCAAACCCTGCTCAGCAGTAAGGAAAACATCCCAGAATTACCAGTGCTGTTCCCAGCAYGAATCCAAAACACAGCCCCATAGTAGCTACTGTGAAGGCAATTKTCTCTATCCCAGACAAAAACAGCACATCTCTGTAAAACATGTATGGAAAACTATACATATATGGCAAAACTGCTCCCCAGCACACATATACACAAAGAACAAATTACATTGCAAAATTTTAACAAGGAGAACTTTCAAAATCACTTTTTTTGCCTCACTCCATGAAATTAGTTAAAAGGAAAAAGGAGGCAAAGCATAAAAGGCACATTGAGAAATACCAGCAACCAAAAAATATCTGCATGTTCTGCTAAATACCATAATTCCAAAATGGGCTTTGCTAATCTGGGGATARCCCTCCTGATGGCAGCTGCAATTTGATTCATGGTGTTTTGAGCAAAGCTCTGTTCTAGCCTGATATAAACTCTCAAGAGTTGTATAAGGAGTACAGCTCCAAAAAACACAGTCAATCAACACCATCAGAGCATCAGCCACCTTTTCATATCAATTACTTACCCAGATRTTCCCATCTTGGTGGTATGGTTTCCAGTTTCTCCCTGTATCGCTGTAAAGCATCCGATACTGAGTGACCCAGTCAGAGCTGCTGTACCTGCCTTGAGTTGCAATAGCACTGATCTGCTTCCTGTTCCCAAAATCCACTTGCAGCCATTGGTAATGATCACTGTCTGATGGAGACCAACCTCCTGCACCTGTTGTGWTGAAACAGAAGAGGGATTTAGTTCTTAGGCAGGTGCTTTTTATGTGAACTCATTGTGAAGATGCTGATTATTGGAAGTCAGCCCAGCTGAGAGGAATAGAATACCAAAGAAAAGTTTGAAGACATACAAAAAAATATGAGTTCCCATTAGAAAAAAAAAAAAAAAAAAAAAAAAAAAAAAAAAAAAAAAAAAAAAAAACAAAAAAAAAAAAAAAAAAAAAAAAAAAAGCAAAATAAAAAAGCAGAGCAAACCTTAGCACAGGTTTACCTTTAAGTACATTGATTCTGTTACCTTAATCATATTTCATTACAACTATAATGATTTAATGGGATGCCTGCTAACCAGTCAATGCCTTTATAATGCCTTAATTACAATTTATTAATTTTTCCAAATTATAATTGCTCAATGCTTGACCAATTTACCATGAAGTCCTTTGTCAGAGTAAGGCAGGAATCAAKAAAAATTGTTGGATTTTCTATACTTTTTCAATAATATACCAAGTTGAAGAGATAATATAGATAAAATGTGAAGAAATAAGGAAGATCTCTGCTTTCCTGTTTCACTACAATGCACAAACTGAAAGATCTAGCAGAATTGAGAAAGGGGCAGGTACTGCAGGACTAGATCCAGTCTTGATGAGCTGGTTGTACAAGCTGTCACAGATTGCATTGGCAGATGCCTTACAGAAGTGTCATTGCTCTTTATGGGTCTATGAATTAACTTGACAGTAATACTATCAATATTCTTCTCAGCCACTAGACTACATTAAACTGCTCTAAATAAAGAAGGTCAGTGATGCATAGATAAATTTAGTGTTTAGACATTAATGAAATTTCTTATTCTGAAATAAAAATATTAAGGGGAAAACTGAATTAGGATTCCTCAGAGAATAATAARTATCTCAGATAGACATTATGAGACATCTAGTAGAATGGTAAGTATTAGGAAATAGATGGCATAAAAAACTTATCTATYAATACAGAGAAAATGTGAAGTATCTTTCTCTTTATAATCATAACAGACATTAATACACAGAAAACAAACYGTTTACAGTCTTGACGTGATTTTTTTCAGAGGTTTTATTTTGCTTTTAACTTTGAACCAAATAAATGTCTTGGCACACCATCAAATCATGTAGTCTAGTCATGGGCCAATTTTTGTTGCTTTTAATTTCACTCATAACTTCGATTGATGTCACAAGCCTTGCCTGCTTGCCAAAGGAGAAAATTTGCTATACTGCATCTTATATMCTCCCATCATTAGGCGGCAGCATTGCCTCAGTCTTAGGCAACTCTAAAACTCATTCAGCTGCTACAGGTGTTAACATTTGCAGGTCATTGGACATTTTAATGTTGTCATATCAACAGGATGATCTGATGCCTAAAGTGGTTGCCTTTCATTGTAAGTAAAAATGTAGCACTATACCTATGACAACAAATCTGTTAAAATTTTCAAGATTTACGATACAAGCTTTCTCCCTGCTCTACCCAACAAAATAAACAGGACACTTTAGCTGAAGGGAATAGGTAAATGCTACTCAAAACAAATAAACCCAAACAAACACATTACTGAAAAGCACTTGCAGCAAAAAATACTACCACACATTCCCAAATTCAAACTAGCGCTAGTTTTGCAGAGAAGGGTACCTGATCATTCAAAATAGAATAGTTTCTTCATAATTACTGTGCATGGAAATTGGAACAGTTAGCTCTACATACTTGTTTTAATAGCAGAGATGATGTTTTATCTCCCTTTCTTAATAACCCCATCAAATTGATGTATCTGAGACTGATGGCACACAAAAGATAAGAAGTTTCTTTTTTGTACAAAAGCCATCTTTGTAAAAATTCCCTTTGGTGGCTACAGAAAAAAAAAATCAAATGTCAGTATTTAAAAACAATTCCTATGAAAGACAAAGTTAATAAACCAATCAATAAAATTTCCTCCATCAAGGAAATTATTGAAATAGTATGGCATAMTATAGTGCTATGACATTTAAAATAGATAATATGTTTTTTACACTTTTTATTTATGCAGAATATTTACATTAAACCAGGAGATTTTGTTAAGCACATTTAAAGGAAAAGACTTTGAAACATAACAAGATATAATTTCTTTTTTCAGTACATTCATATTACTGAGACAAGACTTTACCTGTAATTGAGAAACATTCATTRTAAATTGCAACTAGGTTTCAGAGAGTCTTTACCTACAAATCCATTGGAAAAGTCTGTGAAAATTGAGCGCTAGCATTTCTTTTCTCAGTTGTTTTTCTTTTATGCAAGAAAAGTTGGAAAGCATTTTTCACATCAYGCAAAATGAAAGTTGAGAGATGTGACACAATGGTCACATCCAGGCTATGAGATAGAAACTGCAAGACGGGCTGACTTGTAAACATTTCTAACAAGCAAGAGACAAGATTTTTTGTTAATGTTGCAAAGAACAGAAAACAATCCTATCCCACATCTCAGTTTCAGATTTGCCTTCTGGCTTTTCCAAGCAAGTAAARAAATAAATAGCCAAAAGGATGAAGGAGTAACAAGTTGCATTACAGCTAAATGTGCTGCTGAGCAGGCCAGCTTGGTAAGGGAATGGTGATCAGCCTGAGCAGGCAGGGGAGTCCTCAGCCAGCCACCAGAAGCAGCTTATGAGTATCAATTAAAATGGTTCTCTTCCACTTCAATTCACCAAGCTGAGTAATTTGGGAGAGATGACTACTCTGTTCATTTTGTTGCTGATACATGTAACCTCTAYTGGTTCAAGGATCCCTCTCTTTTTAAAATTTTTTTCAGATGTATGCTCTAAATAAATTATGAAAATGTTGTATTACACACAAATTTTGCCACTGTGAAATCTTGAAAACACATCGAGTTCATCAGAGGAATTTAAGTACATACTGTGTCGCCATTCAATCTAAGCAGGTACAAAAATCTCACATCACCATAAATGTGAAGATGTTCACAGTTCTGCATATCATTAAATATTTTGCTGATTAAACCCCAGCTTCTTCAGCACAATTCAGAAGCTGGTTTGATACTGGATTGGGAAAAGAGGAGTTACTGATAGATAATGTATTTTGACTTTTTAAAGGAGTGAGGAATTAGGAAATCAAATCTAATTTCCACAATATGACATTATTTTTTAAATAAACTGAATTTTATGGCAAATACTTTATGAAAGAATAATGAACTAAAATGACAGCATGTTATTCATTTTCAAGGACATGACATCATACTGAAAACTGCAGTGCTATATTAAGTTTGTTGAATAATTGCTATTCAGTGTTGTTATTCACACCTTGGTGTAAACTGTTCATTTTTAACGGTTATAGGCTACATCCTGAATTTTATTATATTTATTATTTGCAATTTTTATTACGGCAGAAAAATAGGCATTGGATACATGTTTATTCACTCCATGCTCCCTTTATTTCATGTATTGCCTTTTAACAACAGATGTCASAATGTACCATGAAATTGATGAGAGTTGTAAATTAGAAAGAAATTAGAACTAAAAAATGTTTTGAAGATACCAAACAGATGCATATAATGCAGGTTACTTTCCTTAAAAAGGTAAGGAGTATTTATGGAGTTTTTTGGTAGGAAAGTTACAATAAATTTGTAGACAATATCTGCTTCCTATTTTGATTTTTCTGCCATTCCATAATTTAACATTCACCCGCTCAGTAGCCAAAATAATTGACCCAGTTACATGATCCAARAGAGTCTCTGGACACTCTGATTTATACCATACAGCACTCTACACCATAAACAGGGAAAGTCATTTCAACKTGAACAAGAATAACTGAGCATGAACTTTTTTAATAGCTCCAAGTCTGGCAGCAGTAAAGTCAGCACTGAGCATGTGACCCAATTATCTTAGAGCATTCGAGAAACTTTCCTGTGCATAAAAGCCTGTAAGTCTTAATCAGCAAAGCCACTAAAGCTGTGGTAAAAGACAGCTATGAAAGTTTTTGTAAAGCTTTGTTTTCAAAACAAACTACAGAAAGTCATTTGATCTGCTCCTGCTGCTGGCCAAACTACTGAAACACACTCACACTGTCTGGCCTCTCATGCAGAAGACATGAAACTCTATTCAGAATTCTAAGATTTTGTAAAAGTGGAAATTTCTAATGATTTTTCACAAATAAAAAGAATTGCTAATAAACAGTATTAGCTTCATTACAAGAGTTGAAGTTCAAAGATTTCGTTGTTTTTAATGGTGAAAATTCTAATTAGTTTCATGTTTTTTATTGGATTTTATTTCGGAGAAAACAGCATGAAAAATATAGTCTGTATCTAAATGACATATGTAAATGATAGCACAATGTATTTCTAGTAGTATAAAGAATTTGAGTTAACAAGGGCTCATTTTTTCAAAACTTTATGTATARTTTCTTCCTTTTAATTAATTACACATTTCAATTCTCTATTCAAAGTTGAGGAGTGAATTACYTCCCCTTTACTGCACAGAAAGACAACCATCATGATGAGTTAGCCTTTCTTTCTTATTCCCCACAATGAATTTGTCAGTAAGCAGCAAAGCTGGGGTGGGCTTAGATTTTGTGGTTTTATCTCAACTGTMATGGTCTACTGGGTCAACACATGTATAAGAAGGGATGCATTCATGATTTTTGTAAATGTCTGCTCCATTTMAATTAGAAATAATCCTTTTGAAAATTTGGGACTTTAATTTCTATTCATGATGAAAATTGGAAAGATTGATTTGCACTGGAAGAGTCCATTCTTGTTTTAGTCACACTTGTTCATCACTCCCTACTTCAAATCACAAAATTAAAAATACCAGTACTGCAGTAAGTCTAGTGTTCTACTCTTTCCAAATCAGTAACAAAAAGAGGATCCTTGCTGAGGAATTTCATTAGAAAACAAACTGTGGAAAATATAGATGTAAGGTATAGGTTTTGTGATAGAATTCAGGGGATTATTTTATCTAATGATAGAATAATTTAATAGCTTTTCATCAAGGAAACA